AGCCTCTCACACATTAATAATCTTGCTGATAAAGTGTCCAGGCTTAAAAAAATCAAAGAGACAAGATGGTGCTAAGGAGATGAATTAGCTGGCAAAGTGACTGCCACACAAGCACAAGAACCAGAGTTTGGATCTCCACCACTCACATAAATTCTAGCTGGGCGTGGTGGTCTACCTGCAACCTTGACACCTTGGCAGGAGAGGGGAACCCCAGAACAAGCTGGCTATCTTATACTAGCTGAATCAGAAAGCTCAGGGTTCAAGTGAGAGACCCTGCCTCAATATGTAAGGCAGAGAGCATATCAATATCAATTTCTGGCCTTCACATGCGTACACGCATGCGTGCGCAATCACACACACACACACACACACACACACACACACACACACACACACACACGTGTACCCACATACACATGAACATGCATACTTGCACACTGCTATACATATGCAGGCAAAAGAGGGACAAAAGAACAAATCATTATGGAATAGGTTATAAGCATAAAAGAATTAGTAGTAGTCGTAAATCCTGCACAAGTATTATAGGACTAACTCCATGGCGGTTTATAGGAAGTTCACAGAGACAGAACAGCAGCCGCCATGGTCTGGGGTGAAACCCACAGGAGTTTAATGTAATGAGTACTGAGTTTCCATTTGAAGATAGGAAAGTTCTGGAAGTGGATTCTGGTGATGTTGCCCAGTGATGTTCATTAATTTAACTTAATTTTCATTAATTTTAGACACTTCTAAAACTTTAGGCGAAAGAGTCAACTTTACACTGTATTTATTTTACCCCAAGTTTTCAAAGGCACAATACCTTTTACAACTAAAATTTCTCTTTGGTGCAACTCTGAACACAAACTAAGTTATTCAAGTTTCTTGAGCAATCAATGTGTCAATCACTGGAAATTCGAGCTGAATCCCATTGGATCACTGATGAAATGTGTGATAAAGTTCTATACACAGATATACAGAGAGATTGAATCCACACCCCCAGATGCAAATGATCCAAACTGTGAAAATTTCAGAGTGCCATTATGACACCTCATAAAGAAAACTATTCATGATGCAGCTAGGTTATTTTGTACAGTCTATTAAAAATAATTCATAGTTATTTTCAGACCCATCCCTCTTTGTCTCCCTCTTCTGACTTTTCTGAGAGAGAGAGAGAGAGAGAGAGAGAGAGAGAGAGAGGGAGAGAGAGAGAGAGAGATGTGATTTCACATTTCAATTTGGATCCCACGTACAAGTAAATATTCAAAAACCCTAAAGATCTGCTCTCAAGCATTTTGGATAAGGGACTGGCAGCTTACACCTCATAACATATCCAAAAGAAAGGATTCTGAGAAAGTTAGTGACACAAGAGAGGCCAAAGAAGGCAACACAATGATCCGATCCCAATGAAGGACAAAAGAACCATGAAAACATGTAAAACACTAGGCCATATCTGCTGCACAAGAAAGTGAGCTGGGTAAGCTTCACTAGTTAGTGAGATGACTGACTGATGAGCATGCAGTCCAGCTCACAGCAGCAATACTGGAGGCATCAAAACTGAAAGGATGGTACCATCTACGGAAAGTATTCATAGTTTCAGATAGGATTAACTACACTGGAATAATGAGACGAGAGAAAGCAGTGCAGAGGACATCCCAAGACACTATTCCCTGTTGTAATGTGTCTCCCTTCCAGCCAGGGGTTTGTGAGAATTAGAATCTTTTTCCAGTGTGAACTAAAAATATTACATTAATCTCATATACTTTATTCATTGATTTCTTTTTAACAAAAGACCTTCTAAAGATACTTAAAGAATAATCTGGCTTCTTGAGGAGTCAAATATTAAATAGAAATGATCATTTTAATTACCTAGAAGTGGTCAATCAGCCATACACTGAAAAGGCTTCAAACTGATTTAATGCATTAAAATACCTAATAAAATTGTTGTAAAGACTTTTATAAATTTAAAGTGTCAAATAAATGGCCTGTAATCAGAATAATCATTACCCTCTAAAGTAATTTAATAGCCACAAAGTGACCATAATGAAGCTCTACCATTTAATTCCCAGGACTGAGGCTGGGGATGCTATGTGTAGATAAAACTGTAAAATGGAGAGAAATCAGTGCCATGGAGTATCACTTGAGAAGGTAAAAGGACCTCCAAGCTCAAAGTCCAAATAAAACAAAACAAAAATAAAATTATAAAAAAACCAAGAAGATGGTCTGGAATGTAATATATGTTGTATGTGTGCATGTGTTTGTGTGTTTGTGTGTGTGTGTGTGTAAACACACCTTAGCACACTCCCACACACATGTATATGCACATATAGAGGCCAAAGGACAGTGTTGGGTATCTTACTTAATCACTCTCCATCTCACTTTGAGACAAGGTCTCACCACTGAATCTGGAGCTCATCAATGCAGCCAGACTGACTGACCAGAGTGGCCCTGGGATCCACCTCTCTCTGCCTTCCCAGTCCTGATATGACAGGGGCACACTGCATCAGCCATTCACTTGGGTACTCGGCATCCAAATTTAGTTCTCACCCTTCCACAGCAAAATCTTTCAAGTAAAGAAACAGGTGCTTGATTTTGCCCAATAATGCCATATGATACTCAACAATCGCTAGGAAATATTCAGCCAATTGTTTACAAGCACTTAAAAAAAACATAAATTAGGTCTGGAAAAATGGATGATCTTTTTTTCAAATTTTTGCTTCCTAGTTTTTGTTTTTACACAAAGCACTATAAAAAAATAGGAGTAGACATGAGATGGGTTTTTTGTTGATGGTAGATTTTTTTTTCCAGTAATACCCAAAATCTGTATCTTGAGGTAATCAGAACAAAAAAAAAGGTATGGTCAAAAATGTTTAATATGTATTAAATGATGCTCATCACTCTCTTTTAAGAAGCAGGAAGCTGCAGCGTCTATCGAATTAAGCAACAGAAAATGTCAAGAGCAATGAAAATGAACCCCAGGCAGATCTTAATGGCTTAGCTGGTTTCTCCAGCTATAAAAATCAGGACACTCTTACTGCTGTTTGTGTTAGGTAATTAACAGCTGCAAAGTATACTGAAAGGAGAAACTGCTAAATAAATAATGACTGCCACAGAATCTCAACCATAATGTGCTAAATAATAAAGAGGAAACATGGGCCTCTAACGTCACCATTTCTGTTTTGCAGTCTCGTTAGTGTAGCTCAACACACATAGACAGAAGCTGAGTGAGTGATGAGAAGCCATGGGAGTGATCTTGTGTCTCCAACAGCAACTGATCTGAGTCTACAAGTAGCAACAAAACCAAAGCTGTCCCCTTTGTAACTGTAAAAGTGTCACCATTTTGCCTTTGACTTTGTTTTTATCGCTTCCAAGTGGAATCCATTCACTAGGAATCCACAAAGAAAAACTCATTCTCGGAATTTCACTTAATTCAGATGGATTTTTGACACCTAAACTACAGCAATGTTTACATTATTATCTGGAAATTAAAGACACAATGGCATCTAAGATGAGTGTGCTTCACATCTTCCAATCGACTATAATGTTTATGAGACTATGAACTAATCTGAGAATTTGGCATGCAATTTTCAGACTTGCTTCCATGGGAAATAGTTATTAGTGCCAATTCTAGCCCTTTCTTCCACACATCCTTTTCCAATGGTATAGTGATCTGAATTAGAATGCCCCTCCTAGGGATACTCTCTCATCCTAGATACTAGGTCCTGCCCCAAATGATGTGACAGACTTTGATGATCCCTCATGGGAGGCCTCACGCTCCCTGGGGACTGGATGGGAAATGGGAGGGGGTTGGTGGGGGGATGGGAGGATGGGAGGGAGAGGAAACTGGGATTGGTATGTAAAATATAATTGTTATTAATTTAAATAGAAATTAGTTTTTTTAAAAAAAAAAAAAAAAAGGAATGTCCCTTCTAAGCACTTGGACCCCAGCTCCTAGAATTGTTTGGGAAGGATTAGGAGGTATGGCCTTGTTGGAGGTGTGTCATGGGGAGCAGACTTTAAAGTTTCAAAAGATTCTTGCCATTCCCACTATTCCCTCATGATTGTAGGTCCAGATGTGAACTCTCAGCTGTTCCTGCTGCCGCCTTTGCTTAACCATCATGGACTCTAACCCCTCTGACGTCACAAGCTCAATAACATGCTTCCGTTTCTTTAGTTGTCTTGGTCATGGTGTTTTATCAGAGCAATAGAAAAGTAGATAAGGCAAATAGTGACAGGAACATGTCATAAGATGTAAGCTATGCGTGTACCAGAGATCTAGAAGTCTTTTATAATCTTACCTATTCTTATTGCTTTGTATATGCAACAAACATCTGAGTTCTGTTATTGCATTATGAAAAGATTGGAAATCCTTAGAGATTAAATCTATTTTAATTATTTCTAATTCAAAATGCAACACATGGAAGACACAGTGTTATGCCTAAATCTAAAATGTTCTATTCACAAAATACATTACACTGTGAATTTTCTGCATATTCTAAACTAAACTATCTGTAAAAAACTGTTTCAACATCATTGAAGAAAAAACAAACTTAATGTGTTTGGAGAGAGAGACAGACCATCCTCCAGTTAGTATTTTGAGGAAAAATTAAACATCTACAGAAGAAAAAAATGAAGGGTATTGCCCACATTAAAATGCAAATATATCATTTTATTCTCATAATGACCATGATCTCAAATACCATTTTTAGTGACTCATATTAATTTAATTGCAACATTAGCTTTTATAATCATAGATGTAAAAAGACCAGTGTGTTCCAAACATAATTATCTGGCCAGCATCTCATTTCATAAAATTATTAGTTAAGACGAGTGCTGTGGAATGAATTTGTATTTGATTAGTTTCACTTATTTAAGAACACTGAATAATTGAATATCTGTTTAAACAGAAGGGTAACAAGAGGGGCATTTATGAGAGTGCTGAATCATCCTGTACCCCTCTAGAGAGGACCCCCAAGAACTCCTAAACAGCAGTGGATTGTACATACCTTCTAGATGGAGCCATAGCAACCGCCCCTTCACACTGACCACAGAAGCCACACACACCTCTCCTGGATTCCTGGGGTTCACAGCTTCAAGCTTCATGTTCTTTGTGAAGCCCCGATTGAAGGCTGCCTGAAAGAAAAAGAAAAGCAGGCCTGAGCCAGCAGCTCCCAGGGGAAGATAATGGGTGACTACAGAACTGGCCAGTGAACACAGTAGACACAATGGCATCTTGTTCTTGGGACAGAACTGGCCAGTGAATATAGTAGATACAAATGCATCTTATTTCTTAGATGGACATGTTTGTTTTCCCCACTGCTCACAAGCAAAGGGCCATGCATTCTTTATTACATAGGTCAGAACTGTGTTTAACACTCGGTGTACACCTGAGACGTTTTGCTAAATCAATGAGGCTATGGAAACATTCTTTCTCTCATAGTTTGAACTTCAATTCTATGAACTTTGTAAAACACATCATTTCTCTGCTCTTCTATATTGCTTGCTAAAATCATACCTAGGGTGTTAAACAAGGCAGATGGAATATCCATCTGGTATCATCTTCTTTTAAAGGACATTTAAAGAATGCCCTTTAGCTTATAGCATGGGTCTGTTGGTGACAAATCCCTTAGTTTTCATTTATCTGAAAAATTGTCTTTATTTCATATTCCTTATTTGTCTTTACTTTTCTAAATATATATATATATATATATATATATATATATATATATATAGAGAGAGAGAGAGAGAGAGAGAGAGAAAGAGAGGGGGGTCAGGGGAGTAGGGGCTGGGAGATACAGAAGGATGACTCAGTCTGTAAAGTACTTGTCGTGTAAGCAAGAGGACCCAAGTTCAATCCCCAGAACCAACATTTAAAAAATGCAGATGTGGTGGCCTTTACTTGCAATTCCAGCACTGGTGAAGAAGACAGACAAATCCCTGGGGTTTACTAGTCAGCCAGCTTGGACCCCTTAGAGAACTTCAGGCCAACAGGAGCTTTATGTGAGCCACAGCTGAGGAATGACACCTGAGGGTGTCCAC